TGCCGTCGCCGGCAACTCACGGCAACCCAGCTCCAGGTTGAGCTGTTGTTCAGCATCTTAGCTGTGGAGGGCAGTGTCACTGGCCCTCATATGTGGGATTCAAACTGGGGCCCCCTGGTGTCCCAAGCCAGTTCTTAACCATCGCGCCACTCGGCTGACCCTATATTTTTAATAAAAATATTTTTTTAAAAAATCTGACAAGGTTCCATTTGGCATATAAAAGTGTAAGTACCGAAAAGGATTAAGTAATCAGCAGTGCCATCTTCCTCCCTGTTCCAGAACACAATTTAGTATTCTTTGGTCTCCTGGTACCACTTCACTCCATCCTCCACTCTAGCAGCAGAAAAATCCCACAAAATTATGGTACATATTGCTCTCTTTCAACAGGCAATCAGAGTTAGCCAAATTACAGTCTGGAAATAACTGTATAATTTTAAAACTCTAACCAAAATAAATGTGTAATGACAATAAATTTAAACATAGAAATACATAGTTCTAGCTGAAATATCTTGAAAAAATCACATCAAATGGAAGCAATGTCAACAACCAATCCATCGCATGACCAGGGATAATCTCCATTCCTCGGTAATGGTAAATCCTGTAAAACAGGAATAATTATCTCTAGGATGAGCAGCTTGACTCTATTATTCTATGAGAAGTCATAAATGTAGTTGTTAGAGGTCATGAAAAATATTTTTAAGTGGATAATTACCAATTGGCGGAAGACGAATGTGGTTTTGTTTCATAAATCTGTGTTTCATAAAATGTAAAGACTTGGGTGTGTGTGTGGGGGGGGCAGGAGGTATGGAGGAGGGTGGCAGTAAAAAGCACTAGGGTCTTCTATAAATGGCATAAAATCAGAAAACAGGAAAAAATGAAGAGTGCAAGAGGTTTTGTCTCAGGATATAACAAAAACAGATGTTCATTTATTGCCTAATGGTGTTATTTAGCATAATAATAGCATTTCATAACTAAAGCATTATTTTTATTCATTTACAATTCCATGTTAGTAGATAAGCTTTCTTAACTATAGATATAAGACAATAAGCTATATTCTAAACTATTGAGAAGAAATTTGAAACATTAAGACAGCTCTTAGAATTATCTGACTTAGCCTGCCATACATTTATTAACCAAGAAATAATTGATGATTGGCTCAACCAAAATGGAACTGTATTGGCAAGAATTAGGGGGAGACATTAAGTTTAGAATTATACAGCATACGTTTTACTTAAGAATAATGCTTATTGATAATTTTAAAACCTGTAAAGGCTATAGATTTTATCACATGAGCTGATAGGAGCTTTGCATACATTCTATTTGCCACTCAAGGGATTGAAAAATCTAAAAATGGGAGTGTACATAAAGAAAATTCCAAAATAGTATGAAGACTGGGAATATACAGTGAACTGTATGGAAGAATCCATTGGCTGGAAGGGACTTTAAGGGAGGGAATGGTCAGACAATGAACAAGAAATTATTCTGGCCAAACAGGATCACTCTGAAGAATAAACTGCGGAGTGAGCTAATTACTAGAATACGAAGAAAATGGAACTGCCTAAAGTGCAGAGTTCAAGAAGAAAATCTAAGAAAGATTGAAGCAAAAGAATATGAAGCCTTAAGAGAAATGACAAGTAGTCCAAATATGATTTGGAATATACCCAGAGAGCTGGTTAAGCAGTTTAAGCAAGAGAGTAATAATGTGTTTCAGGTGGGTGGTTAAGAAACCCAACTGGTATTTTGAAAGTTTGAGGCTAGAGTCAAGCGCATTATTTACAGGTTTAAACTCATGTTATTTCACAGAAGATCTGGGTTTCTTTCTTCTCTGAGATTATGGAAATTATCTCACGAGATAAATGATTGTTCTCCATTTCATTTTCTTCCTTCAATAAAAGATGCATCCCAACATTAAGATTTATGGAAGCTTTAAACAGGTGTAGGCTTCCATGATTCTATCTCCTCCTTCACAACATACCTGCTAAGACACAACTGGGCCACCTCTCTTGGAAACCTTCAGAGAGGGGGAAGGTAGCGCTCACAGAATAACATATTCCAAAGCTTTGGAAGATGAAACAATTGATGCAGGCAAGGATAATCACTGGATGCTAGGGCCATCAGGTAAAAATTTCTAGGGAAGATGATATTTGCATGATGCCAAAGTATCACCCCACAGATTACTTGTTAATTGCACAGGAGAAATAGAAAGACAACACCAAGTACACAGCATCATCTAAGCAAAGTTCTTGTCCCAAATCTGAATCCAATCATGCTTCTAGACCTACCTTTTAGTTTACAGGAAATATAAGTGATGGAAGAAGGAGTTAAACACCACCTTGAGGAAACAGTCAGACAAATTCAGAATATGGGACATTGTACAAGATAACCAGCCTGCTTTCGTTTCAAAGTTAATGTCATGGGAAAAACAAGGTTAGTGCTTATTCTAGAATAAAAGAGAATAAAACGCATAACGACCAAGTACTATGTATGAAGGTTGACTAGATCCTGGTTTGTGTTATGGGTTTTAAACTATAAAAGATATTCTGGAAACAAGTAGAATATTTTGAATAGATTGCACATTCAATGACGTTAGGAAAATGGTTTTCATTGTCTTAAGATATAATATCTTAGTCAAATTACAGGATGTCTCTTATTTTTAGGGGAGAGAAAAAGTAAACATAGCAAAACATTAACAGCTGATTCTAAGTGGTAACTATACCTGTGATAATTATATGATTTTCTCAACTTTTCTGGATATTTGAAAATCTTCATAAAAACCTTGAAAACCTTATTTTAAGTAAACTAATCCGAAATCTGCTTCCATTTGTGTTCACCTAATTATCCTAATCCCACCTCCATTCTCTTGGCTCTGGTAACCACATTTTCCAGTTTCCTTTCCTCCCTTTCCTCTGGCTCTGGCTGACCCAACGCAATACCCTCACCTTCTCCTCCACTTCAATGTGACAGCCTCAGAGAGCTCAGCCTTGGCCACCTGCTTTCTCCTGCTCTCCACTTCCCAACTCCCTTAGCTTCACGGGCTATTGAAACACCAGAGATTCCCAAATGTAAGTCTTCAAGCCAGACGGTTTGTCTAAGGTAAACAGATCTGAACCTAGAAACTTTCTTACCTAAATCATCGCATTTCGTGGGCAAACCAAGATCTAAAATGGCCTATTAAATCAGAGCTCATTCTTTTCTCTTATGAAATCCCAACCATCTGAAGTAAAGGGGAAAAGTTAATATGTTGCAAATCTAATAAACTCCTGATTCATTAAAATGCTTGCAGAATAACTGTTCCAGGTAATTGAATGTTTTAGTTAAATCAAGTTCCAACCACTTTTGTTTTATTATTTATTTTTAAATATTTTTATGGTGGATAATTGGGGAACAGTGTGTTTCTCCAGGACCCATCATTTCCAAGTCAAGTAGTTGTTTCAATCTGGTTGTGGAGGGTGCACACCTCAGTGGCCCATGTGGGAATTGAACTGGCAACCTTTGTGTTATGAGCACTGTGCCCTGTGCCCTAACCACCTGAGCTAACTGGCCATCCCTAACCACTTTTAAAAATACATTAGTATGTATACCTACTTAGTATACATAATATTCAGAATATAATTTAATCTTTGATTTTTTTTATTGCTAAACTTAAAGCACCTTTATGTTAACACCACAAATATCTGTACACTGAATATACTTAGATTTGGATTATGCCAAGATTTAAATGATATCTAAGCAATTGCGCTGAATCTGTATTGCCTAAGGATTCACTTGGAATTCACTGAAATTTCAAGGTTTAGTTATTCACATTCTTCTTTTTTTTTAATCTTTTTGCACAAAAGTAAACTTATAAGGGAAAACTCAATACAAGCTTATAGTTTCTCAGAGGAGTAAAAATTCATAAAGTGTTTGAGGCAAGAGAAGTAAACATCTAACAAAAGGGCAGAGATGTGGAAAACAAGATTGAAGCTTCAAGAACAATGGGTTCAACTTTTTCAGGGGCCTTACCATTAAGCCTTTGAGGAACTAGAATTATATGTAGTGTTTTTTGTGATGTTATCAAAAGAATCAAGGCAAGTATTTGTTTTTTACCAAGAAGAGTATGCAAAAACAAACAAACAAACAAAAGTCTCAAAAAATGCAGAAATATGTAGAATTGTAGTTTACCTCATTGCACTGTCTCAAGTTTACTTGTTTCCACCCGTTCTGTACCTCAGTAGCCACAGAGCTCATATTTATAACTGGTAAATCAGTTTGCCTGTCAACACAGGGTCCCGTTGGCTTCCATGTCTACATGGTTGGAAATTTCTTCAAACTTAGCATGTCTTTGAGGCCTATAGTATCTGTTTACAACCAGGCAAATGCTCACCACTCAAGGGTCTCTCAGCAGATTAGCATGAGTTGACACTCATGTTAAGTTATGACTAGCACAGGTAACTGCTTTCCTTAACCCGATTCTTTGCTCGTTTATGTAGAGATTTTGGAAGTGAATGAAACCATAACTCTGGATTAACATATAGTACCAGTTCACTAATTATCATAAGCATCTAACTGCTACATATTCCTAAATTATTCCTATTTTGCCTAACAATGGTCATATTTAGATAATCAGGTAATTTTTGAAATTTTCCCAGACCACATGGGTTAGTAATTCCCCAACCAAAATGGATTCTGTTTTTTTAAGCACCTTGGAAAAATCTGGAAAATAAATCAAACAAATTAAAATTGAAAAATGTATTAAAAGACAATATTTTTGTTTCATTTTCTCTAATTCCCCCCCACACACACACACACTTTTTTTTAAGCATGAAGGCTTTTAGAAGTGGAATGGGTTAGATTAGATTTGTGGAAGGTTCTAAAAACCTTCAGGCATATAATAAAGGCATTAGCTGAATCAAGGTTTATAGAAATTCATGTTTGTAATTATCTAAGGTAAATAGAGATCCAAAGTAATCATTAAACCTTAACAGTGAATCAGAGGAATCAAACTTCTAGTTTGGAAATAATAACAATTTAATGGACAAACAAAACACCACAGTGAACAAAATATTGAAGCATTGTCCTTTTTTCATTCAACAGCATGAAGAGTTTTTTTTTGTTGTCACACATTTAAAGTCTTTACAATCAAATCAACTTACTAGCAACTAAAAACAAAAGACTATCACAGTACACAAAGAGATACAAGTTTAAAACTGAAGACATTATACAAATAAGCAAAATGCACAGTACCCATGTCCAGAGCTTTCTAGAAATCTCATTATATGCTAACTCACCAACTTATCTGCTGTTACATTTCTAACATCAAATTTAAAATCATTTTTGTTCAGATAAAATGAGCATTTAAAACAAAAAACAAAAAACAACCTTGTCAATATGTAAACCCAAACCACAAAACATCTCCTAACCATTGTATTTACTCTAAGTACAAATGGATTTTTGGAAATTGCATTAACAATGCTATCTAAACTAGATTTTATGAAATCATAAATGTATTTAGATATATCTTGGGCTTAGATTCATTGGACCACATCCCACATATATTTTCCTGTCATACTTACCTTGGGCATACATATTCTCTAAGTTAATAGTTATACAATTAAAATCAAACTACTCTTCTAGAAATAAGTGTCAATTTTTCCTGAATTAGGAGATGGGAACCGGTCCACTGTAACTATATCACGCAACAAATGTTTCATCACAAACAAGTTAAAGTAGTCTGAGTAATGCCCCTTTCTAAGAGTTACAAATATTTTAATGTTCATCATCAGTAATGGGTTTTAGAGACTAAAAAGCTTTTTGTTGCCTATTTTCCACGGACACTCTAGTCCCTCAAACCTAAAATATGCTAAACAATTTCTTCTCATAAATATATACATTCAACTGGCCCTACATCGTAAAAAGAAATTCATTAACTCAAGTCACATAGCTTATACTTTTATTTGAAATAAATTGTGTAAGATCTTGAATCCCTTCTAAAATGGACTTAAAAACAACAGGGATAGCACTTCTTGAAGCCGCACTCTCCACCTCCACTTCATTCCCTGGAAGGGTCTTTTCTAGCAGGGCATCAGCTTTGTGTGTTTCTGATCCATCCTTTTGCTTGGCCTACAGCAACACAGTCTTGCACATAAACCTAAACCATTATATTTTGGTTAACTCAGTGGAGTACAGCAAAATATTTAGGTTCTCAGCACATCAAACTGGGAGCCAAAACACCTCATTCATTGTTTCTGGGTTTCCACTGTCACAATTTACCCCAAATCATTATAGGATTAAGTTAAATAAGTCCACAATAGAATTTAAAATATAATTGGGGAAAAAAATGAAACAAAATCCTCATAAATTTATAGCAACTAATTTAAATGGAACCTCATTCAGGATAAGGGGTGGTGCTAATTGAACAACGTGGTTAAAAAAAAAAAAACTAAACTAAAATGTTTTAAGGAAAGACGCAAATTAAGATTTCCATGAACAATAACTGCGCTGTGAGAATTTCAGAAAAGATGGAGGAGAGAGGAAAATAAATATGGGGAAAGGGTGTGTCTCAAACACAAGTGGCCATATTCTGTTGTGAAGTTGACTTCAATGCAAATGGCTTGTTTTTCATTTTCTTTAGTAACGTGGCAAAACAGATATTTAACTGAAACCACATGAGGGAAAGAGGCAGAGATTCCTCTTGGCAAGGGAGCATGTGCAAAGGGATGGAGCACCTCAACTGGAGTAGCAGCCTACAGAGAGCAGCATTAACGTAAGAGAGAAAACAGCTGGAGGGGATTCAGGGGAGCGCCAACAACTGGGCTGTGGAGGGAGTGAACTCCTTTCAAATGGATGTGCCTTCGAACAACTCTCCTCTGGCATCCACCCTCCATTGTAGATTACTGATGACGATGATGACGATGATGACGATGATGATGATGATGATGATGACGATGATGATGATAAGAGGAATCAGTTCATTCCTAACCTTCCACAAAAACCGCTCCTGGCGCCTGACCCTGCCCCCGCCACTGTCTGTCTAGCAGGGCCTAGGGAAATCCTTAGTTTACACAGTTTTGCTTCTTTGCTAACACCTAAATAGATAACGAACATTTGTACTTCCAGCATACAGGAAAACCAGTTGTGTCACATTTGATGAAAAACAGACCACAGAAATATGGCCGATGGCTTTGTTAAGGCCATGAACGCTCATCGGAGAGAATATAAAAGAAAATAAATGATGTATTACCTAACTCGAAACATGGCAATGTGTGTCACATTTCTTAGTTTGCATATCGATTAAGAAGGTGCCATACAGTCTAGAAATTCATGACACACGCACTGGCAAAAACCATACACCATCAGAATAACAAGGCTCGAAGGGACGAGGCTGACAAAGATAACCCCGAGGGTGACTTTCTTAGAGACCAGCAAGTAGATTCCCAAGGGTAAGGAGCTAAAGTACAGCAAACCTAGCAACCAAACCAACACCCGGATGGATGTCTGAAACAGCAGGGAGGTACAGTTCCACACAGTCCAGTTGTGTGACACAGTGGTGACTGAGTCGAAACTTGCAGGCCTATAAAATTCTAGCACAGGAGTAGAGCTCAGAGATGGGGAGCTCTCTCTCTGTACCTCCATGATGGTTATAACCAGGCAGTTGGAGGAAGTGTGAGAAGGACTGACAAGAGAGGCCAGCCTCTTGGGGGTCAGCAGCAGCTCGGTGGGGTTTTCGGGCAGGCACTTCTTGCCTTTGCCTCCACAAGTCAAGTTCACGAGGATGTTGTTGTCATCAGGGAGGCTACTGACTTCATCATCTGGCAGGCATGTCTCAAATCTGCAGAAAGGACAGACGATGACACCTTGGGTGGAGTCGCCAAAGTCTATGATCTTGTAGAGGCATTTGGCACAAACCCTGTGACAACACTCCAGCACTTTGGGTTTCCTCTGTTTCAGATTGTATCGATTATAACAGATCTTACACTCCAGCTCGTCGGAGACCTGAGACTCTGCAGCGTCTTCCAGCGGTTGACTAGCCATCTTGAATTATGTGTAGACTTTGGCCAGATGTGTCTCGTTGAAAAACGACTTCGACTAAGGAGTCCCTCTGAATATCACATCATCCAGATCAGGCAGAGATGCAAAAAGGCAAGAAAGGTAGTGACAGAAACCAGAAATCTTCCAGGCATTTTCAGCTTCTACATATAACTCTCTGTCTCAAATGCATATTTTAAAAGGCCACATGGGTCTGCAAAGGAAAAAAAAAAAGAGATTCTAATATAGTGAAGAGTTCTAATGAAAAGTGCTTTATGGAATTTTCTGAGCTTCACCTATTAGAAGCAATAGACTTAAAAGGTTAAATCCCTTTCATCTTTTCACACATTCCTGCCCAGAACAGAAACGTGTTATCTCAGTGCTTAGCCTTTTCAGTCCACATATATGATAGTAAGAAAGACTTAATAATCTTAATGGTGTAAAATACACTCCAGAGCACTGTAAGTATGGCTAGATATAGATATTTTCTCTCTGAACCTTGTAACAAATTCTGGCTTCCTTGAAAATAGAATGGGGCACAAATCAGAAATAGATACAATTTATAATCAAATTCCCTTCAATATAGAATAAGTAAGGGTGTCACTGGTATAAATACCAGTTGTCTGAATACCCTCCATAGTGCTTAGGAACACACACAAAAAGGGAAAACCTTAAGGATAAACGCTTACAATGTGTTTTCAGAAAGTACTTTGATAGAGATGAAAGCATATTTAAATATAGCAGACTGCTCTCACTTTCCCAGTGTAAAGCAATCTGTTATAAATGCCTTTATCATTTGACTATTCAATTTCAAACTTTTTGTTTCAACACTAGTCTTGAAAACCATAGTTGTGCATATACATTTGCTCAAGGAAGCGTGAAGCCTATGACACCCGACATAAGCATTATTAACAAGTCAAGTTCAATTCCCAAGAAACAGAAGTAAACACAGATAATACATGCACAGTTATATCTACAAACATGAAGAATCGCGCATGCATAGCTTTCGAGAAGTTCTCAGCGTTCGCCTACTTGCCCACTTGATTTCATGTAAACTCTTTCTATAGTGAACAGAAAGCGTAATACAATCAATGGTCTCTAACGTTGAACTTTAGTTGCTATTACTGGCGTTGGACAAACGGCTGAAGGTTGATTTCATGTGTTCGTGTGAGAAGCAATATGGGAAATCTCCAAATAAATTTTATTTTGCTTTAAGATATGTGATTTTTTGGTAGTAATTTGTCTTAAATTATGTTTTTCTTGGAAAAATATCAAAATGTGTTTGGATTTCTGAGCACATCCCCAAGCAATAGTAGCAGAAGGCTGCCATAACAGTCCTGAGAAGCAGAGTGCAACTATGCTAATATCTAAAAATGTCCTATGGATCGTACTGCTTTAACAGAAAAGAGGCAGTGGGTAGCTAAACTTGGATAATTTCTGAAATCATGAATAATTGGTAAATGAATACATATTACCTTCCTTTTTATTCATGACTTTAATTTTTAACTGCCTTCATATAATGCAAGAATGTATAATACAATGGATATCAAGGCAAGATATTTTTGGTGGGAAAAGAAAGTGAATAAATCAAATCTCTGACATCAGCCAAAAAATGTAGATAGGATTTAAAAAAAAATAAAGTTTACTCTGCATGAATGCATGTATTTCAAAATTGCCACCATAAGCCAATTTCTATACCTCAACTCTTACACAGAAAAAAAGGATATACAGACACAAACATCAATGCTTCTATCCTTTTTCCTTCTGTGTGCCCTAAATATTTTCTTCATTCCTGATCCTGATCCTGTTCAGAATACATGTGTACACATCATTCAAAACATGACTTTATCTTGCGCAGAATTCTACAAAGCTGGCTTTTGATTCTCCTGTGGGATGAACATCCTCAGGATGACAGACAGCCAAGGAACAAGAAGGTGTTCTATCACTGTCACCACACCCAGTCCTAGCTGCTTTCAGAATGGTCCCTAGTCCCAGGTGTGTCATTGGTGATCCACTTACTGGGCAGCTCCCATTCATTCAGCCCTCTGCTAGCCACACATAGACAAAGGCCCATCCAAACTGAACACGTTATAGTCTCCTTGCAGCTGCCTTCCCACTCATCTTACTGCCCTCAAAACTTCAGGCATGCTGAAGTCATGGTAGAACTCGCAGCACTGATGGCCTCCATCACCATCAAAAGGACTGATGTATGTGAAGTTGTGTGAAAATGAAAAACAAAATATGTGAACATGTACATAAAGAGGAAAACAGAGAGTAAAATATTTAGTGAGGATAAATAAGCAAAATTACATCTAAAAGCACAGAAAGCAAAAGCATACATATAGAAACGCCAACAAAAGGCTTATGATGTATGCGTAATGAAACTAGATACCTATCTTACACCACTCACAAAAATGAACTCAAAATGGATTAAAGACTTAAATGTAAGACTGGAAACCATAAAACACCTAGAAGAAAACATAGGAAAAAAAGCTCCTTGACATGGTTCTTGGCAATGATTTTTTGGATATGATACCTATAGTACAAGCAACAAAACCAAAAATAAACAAGTGGGCCTACATCAAACTGAAAAGCTCCTGCACAGAAGGAAATGATTAGCAAAATAAAAAGATAATCTATGGGGCAGGAAGAAATATTTGCAAACCATATATATGATCAGGGGTTAATATCCAAAATATATAAAGAACTCATACAACTCAATGCAAAAGAACCCCCCAAATAACCCAATTTTAAAATGAGCAAAGGACCTGAATAGACATTTTTCCAAAGAAGATATATGAATGGCCAACAGGTACGTGAAAAGGTGCTCAACATCACTAATCACCAGAGAAATGCAAATCAAAACCACAATGAGATGTCACCTCACACCTGTTAGAGTGGTTATTATAAAAAAGACAAGAAATAACAAGTGTTGGCAAGGATGTAGAGAAAAGGGACCATTGTGCACTGTTGGTGGTATGTAAATGGTGCAGCCACTATGGAAAACAGTATGGAGGTTCCTCAAAAAATTGAAAATAGAACTACCTTATGATCCAGCAATTCTACTTCTGGGTATATATCCAAAGGAAATGAAAATATAATGTCAACTAGATACCTGCACCCCACAGTTCACAGCAGCATTATTTACAATAACCAAGATATGAAAACAATCTACGTGTCCACCAACAGATGAATGGATAAAGAAGTTGTGACAAATATAAACACATATATACACACAATGGAATATTAGCCATAAAATGGAAATCCTGCCATCTGCGACAACATGGATGGACTTTAAAGGCATTATGTTAAAGTGAAATGTCAGGCAAGTACTGTTTGATCTCATATGTGGAATCCAAAACACACACACACACACACACACACACACACACACACACACACACACAGAAAAAGAGATCTGAAGATGAGATTTCTGGTTACCAGAGGGTAGGGGGAGGGGAAATTGGATGAAGGTGGTCAAAACTACAAATTTCCAATTATAAGATAAATAAGTACCAGGGATGTAATGTAAAGCATGATGACTAGTTAACACTGATGTATGGTGTATTTCAAAGTTAAGAGAGTAAATCCTACAAGTTCTCATCACAAGGAAAAAAACATTTATTTTCCTTTTTTTTGTTGTATCTATATGGGATGGTCGATGTCAGCTAAACTTATTGTGATAATCACAATGTATGTAAGTCATTATGCTGTATATCTTAAATTTACACAGTGTTGGATGTCAATTATATCTCAATAAAACTGGAAAAATGAAAATTAAAAACAGCTTGTGTATGTGAGAATACATTATATTGTCAGCATTCACAATCAACTGGTCACATTAGTACTTTCTGTAATAAGCTTCTCACCATTAGAAGAGTAGTAGGAATGTTCAATATTGATCCTGTCACAAATTCTAGCTCATAATTCAGAGAACATAAATTATTTGCTTAGATGATATTATTATTATTTGAAACAAAGCTTTCCTTTTTCACAGAAACACTCAATCAGACCTTTGACTGTGTTAAGATATTATGTTACGTGATCATAGTGTTCATATTTATAAAAATTCATATAGGGGGCTTAGTAAAATACAAAGAAAATACTAAATGTTCTAAAAGATGATGAGAAAGATACCTACTTTAATTCTAAGGCCAATTTTAGCCAATCCACGCTACCACCTTGAAATACTTATCAAGTCCTGCCCATGAGCGCACTTCTGGGCAGGAGTGGCTGACAGCCCTGAGCTCTGGTAGCACCACTGGAAACGCATGCCATTCCGCTGGAACGGCATAAGGCAGGCATGGTGATTGTTTTTCTTGGGAAGTTGAGGTACGAACTGCTAGACTTCTCAATAAATACTTCATCTGTTTCATTATGACTCTAAGGTCCCTCAAAGAACTCGAATAATAACCTAAAGTGTATAACTTTATAGGGTTACAGTTAGTTGGAGTTGTTATTTGGTTCTCGAAAAGGTATGCATTCCAGCCCGTTCCTACCCTGCCTTCAACTCCGTAATTGTGACAATAGTGTTGATGTTGAGTGAAAGAAGCCAGGCCCTAGGGAGCACATATGGTTCTATTTCGAGAAAGCTCAAAAAAACAGGCAAAACTAAGCTGTAGTAGGCATGCAAGTTTGGGTAGCTAAACTAAAAAGAAAAGCCTGGAAGTCATCAGTATACAAGTCAGGACAACGGATGCCTTTGAGGGGATTGAGTGTTGGGGGAGTGCATGGACTGGGCTGCCGGGAGGCTGACCTTGTTTCTTGACCTTGGTGGTAATTACGAGTGTTCGCTTTGTGCTACACCATCAGGCAGTACATTTTTCTGTATTAGTGTTTAAAAAAAAAATCCATGGCTAAATACTTTAGCTATTTTAATAGCCCACATTGTTCTGTCAATGGGTATTTTGGATCAACATCTTTTTTTCCTCTATGACCGGTAAGCTCATTAATTTTTTTCACAAAAATTAAAATGTCAGTCATGTATTTATTACGTAAATATCCAGGTTTTACTGTAAATCAATGTTAAAATGGATAAAATCTTTAAGATGAGAAAGTCTGGAGCATTCCTTCATGAGAACAACTGCTAAAAGTATGTCTCGCTAGGTATTCGGGAAAGAATCTGTCATACTAAAACTGCCTTAAAAATAAATACATGTAATTATGTGAGATGATGAATGTGTTAACTAACCCTATGGCGGTAATCATTTC